TCACCGGACTGAATAAGCTTTAGAAGGAATTCTTTGTGCCGTTGGTGCCGTTGCTAGATTCTCCCACGTCGATGTTTGCATCATGAGACGTCTGTCAAATGCAGCAGTGATGTCAGTGCTCCTTGTCCTGAAATCCTTTTACCTTCCGCCGCTGACTGTTCTTTTTCAGCTGTTTTCAAAGTCCTTGAAGACTGTTGCAGATAAAACCAGGCTCAGTGTTGCACTGAGCATAGATGCAGTGATAGTAGTTGGCCTGCAAAACTGCAGCTTTGCTGGTGGGCTGTTTTGGTGGCTCAGAGAGGATGAGGGCCAAGCAGTGAGAGTTTTTCAGGTGCTGGTCTTCACAGAAACCTCACAGGAATGTTACCTGTATAGAAAGAGTTCATGAGGGAAAAGGGCAAATTATGATTACACGCCAATGACTCGGGTTGCTTGGTTTTTCCGGAAACTTATAGAAAGGGAAAGACACGTGTTTCTGGCCTACTGCCACTGTTCAAGAATGGGTTATAGCCTCAAGGTATAAGTGGGAAGCACAGGGCTGAGTAGTTCCCCAAGGAGCCGGGTGTCTATTGGGCCTGGTAATGAGGGGTAAACTGTAAAAGAATGTAGTAGAAGTAGTATTTAACAGAAAGATAGGCAAAAAAACTCTTGGATACTTTGGGCCTGTTTTATTAAGTCTGGAAGGGATGGATGCTTTCTGACTAGATTAAAGGAAGACGAGAGAATTGTGCAAAAGGGCAAAATATTTATGGGGGGGGAGTCAAAAAAGAGTATCTGCAGCTGAAAAGCAATGTGCTTTGATTACACACTGCAGCAGCTACTGTGTGGAGTTAAAACATTTGAGGGGAGAAATAAACTATGTTTACGCTAGGAAACTGTCAGTATGCTTCCCTGCAGTACTTTGGGGACCGTTCCCTAAATAGGAGTGCATTCAAAACCGGGGTGCTTAGGCTGCTTGGTGGTTTGACTGGAGCGGGATGCAGAGTTAGGAGTTCCTTGGCAAGATCTGTGAATTTAGCAGTTGCAGTGACTTCCTCTAAGTTAAGTGTGGTCCTTTAGCTTGAAGCAGTAGGAAAGGAGGAGTAGAATTATCCTATGACAATGTAGTAGGGTTTTTGTGGAACCTAACCCTGTTCACTCGTAAAATTGTTCTTCATTTACGTGCAAAAAATAGTCCGTCTGAAGTCCAAAGAGAAAATGTCTGGACATTAACAGCTCCGAATTTTGAGGTTGTCATTAGAGGAGGGCATGGAATAAAAATTTTGGGTGGTAATAACGTAGACAGGAAAAAATGCCCTTGTACGACATAAGGAAGGTAAAGAGAAGGAAAGGTAGAATTTTAAAATTTAAGATGTGCATTTTGTTTAATTATGCATTCTGCATCGGACCTGAGCTGTGCAGTTGCTGGCCCTGCTTTTGTTTTGGGAGGAAATTGTCTCATGCTATTATTACATTGTTTTCAAAGGAGCATAAAGAAAAGGTTGAAGACTTGACAGCTGTGACAAAGTCCAGTGCCATAATGTGTCATCAGATAAGTGATACTATATGGTCTGTGGCAGTCAGCAAAGCATGGCAGCCACTATTCATATGTCAGCTTTAAAAGACAGGAAGTGTTACCCGAAGGGGAGAGAACATCAGAAGTTGACAGCCTGTTAGACGTCTGAGGTTAAATGTCATCTTTTGAATAGATTTAACTTACGTATTCATTTTATTTTGTGTATTGAGGTCTGAAATTCCAGTCTTTAAATGCCCATTTTGTTATTTAGTGGCACTTAAAACATTGTACCTGAGAAGAACAGGACAAAGTTTCCTGCTAGAGCAGAAGGTGTGAATGGTTTTGTGATAGTTTTCAATATCTGTATAAAAATATAAGTGTACCTGTAGCCAACAATTACAGAAGAAAGACAAGCATCTTGTTCATTCTTTAACGTTAAAAGCAGTTTGCTTGTTTGTTTTTTTTTTTTTTTTAGTAATAAGGTATATGTTGCTTGGATTCCTCTTTTCCTAAATGACATTTTCAGATTAGCTAGGTCTGCTGTTTTCTGTAAGTTCTTGTTTCAATTTAAACTTGTAAATTAAAACCTTGTTCATATTTCTCCATAAGCAGCATGTATAATATATGGAAAGTAACTAGGGTTACTGTTGTAGATATTGGGATTGTTTGCTGCCCAAGCTTTTTGTCCTTTGAGCTTTTGGTTGTGTGGGTTTTTCATTTGTTTGTGTGTTAACTTTCTGAGCACCCTTTTATATTTTTTGGAACAGGATGGAATGGAGCAGAGACATTTCTATAGTTATTTTAACGATCTTGTAGAGAATTGAAGTTGTTAGCTTTCAAACAGTATTTTCAACTTGTTGTTTATGGGGAACAGTATGCTGTGAGAAGGAAGCAAATTATTTTCCTCTTCTCAAGAAAACTGCCAGCATTTTCTGTTACACTCTGAAGTTTGTGTGAAGTTTTCCATAGAAGAATGAATTATAAGGCTTTGATTGTACGACCAAAAATATCACTTTCTGTGATTTCACTCTCAGATGTTGCAAAGATTGCAGGTAATACTTTCATGAGATTTCATCCATTCTTTCTACTATTGTTTTTGTGTGAAATCAGTAGCATGTCCAATTACGTTCTAACAGTTTTATTCTGAAGTGAGTATTTTTTGATTTTTAAAGCCTAGCTTTAGATTTTGCATGGTTGTAGTGCAGACGCTGGTAAAAAAAGTTAGTCATCTCAGGTACAGATTCACTGGATGTAGGGGAAAGACGTAAGCAGAAGACTGAACTCTAATCTTTGTCTTCTGTTCCCCTGCTGTTTTGCAAATTGCACGTTCTGGGGAAAGCCATCCGGTTTCTCTCTACTTTTTGCTTTAAGTGCAATATGCAGATCTAACAGCCAGTCATACCTAGTGTGTGGCTCCCTAGATGAAGAAAAACTGCACCGCTGCTTGGCAAGATGGAGAACGTGCTTTTTTCTCCTTGATCGTACTGCAGCCTGTTCATATGGCAGAATGTGAGACTTTTGAGGATATGACATGCTTTTGTGTTGCCCAGCATATTGCAACTGCACTGATTTATGTTGCTTTTCTCTTCGCTACCTCCCATGCATATGTTTATCATAGGTTTTCTTAGAAGAATGCTGCCCTCCAAAAGAAGCCTTTGTATCTTTTGAAAGCATGTTAAAGTGTTCATTGATGAACAGAAGTGATATTAGAAGGGAAGGAAAGCTAAAATTCCAAACAAGAAAGAGAACTAGTTGTGCCAAAGTGACCACTCTGCCAGAAGACCGTTGTGTTGGACAGCGTATCTCACATCTACCAAAAAGGGTCTAGAGGGAGGATACAGGCAAACACAGGCCAGTAAGTCTGGCTGTCCATTCCTGGTGAGGCAGTAGTCTCTGTTAAAGACTGATAAAGGTCAATGAGCATATGGATAAACACAGTCTGGGAAAAAGACCACAGCCTCTGTAGAGGAAAACCCTGCCTTTCTACCCTACTGCAGTTCTGTGAAGGTGTTTGTAAACATGTGGAGAAAGGAGATCCGGTGGATACTGTGTGTGTTTATGTTGGAGGGCAGGGTACCTCTTTTTATTTCTTTCTTTTTCTTATTCTCTCCCCACCCCCCTAAAAAAAAAAAAAAAAAAACTTTCCTGGTTCCACAGCAATGGCTAGTAAGGAGAGTTAGTTGCCGTGGGATTAGAAGAAATCCATACAATTCTCTTTATGGGCTGAAAACTGGTCAAAGCGTGGGACAGCAAGGGTTTGTGTTTTAATGATCAGCCTTCAGGATGGAGAAGAGCCAGTAGTAGTGATCTCCAGAGATGAGTGCTGGGATGAGATTTATTTAATGTTTTTGTTTATGATCTGGAGAAGGTTTTGAGGAGAGAAACCTCAGAGTTTGCAGCTAATACAGAGGGCCTTCAGGTACTCAAATCCCACATTGTTGGAAGAGCCTTTTGGAGTTCTTTGCCAAACCTGAACAGGAGGGCAAAAAGATGGTAGATGAGCTCCAGATGAGGAGCAGTGCACGGTACTTGAATCTTCAGAGGAAGATTCATCTAAAGCCTAGTTACGTGATGTTGAGCTTAGAACTGGCAGTTGCAGAAAGGAGATCCTGGACTCGCCAGTGGCAGCTCTCTGAAGAGCATGGGCTCATTGTGCTTTGGCAGCCCAACATGCCAACAGTGAGCCAGGGAATAGGGCAGAGGGGCTTGACGCGACTTGGTCTTGAGTGTGAAAACTTTGGAAAAACCATGTGAGACCTCGCTGCACTCATGTTTGGAGCGTTGTGTCAGTTCTGGTCTTTAAACCTCAGGGACAGCGGGTAGAAAGAGGGACAGCTAAAATAGTCATGGGGATAGATCAGCTATCTTAGGAGAAGAGGCTGAAAAGGCCGCAACTTCAGCTTGCGGGCACTTGAAGGGACAGGCAAGGTGCACCCTTTGATGTCTGTCACCCAACTGTGGGGCTGGGAGAACATGCAAGGAGTGGCCCTGCAGAGAGGGGCCAATCTCACATGCTCTTCTTAAAAAGTGTTTCCTGTTGCTGAGGTCTGTTGATCTAACCCAGCAGTGCATTTCATAAATCCTTACCAGGAGCATGTCGTAGGTGCTTCCCTCAGGCTATAACCTCAATGTGAAACTAAGTAGTTCCGGTACTTTAGTGTTTACGTAGTGATTCATATCATTTGAGAATCTTGTTTGTTATTTTGAAAAAGTCATTGCTTATGACTCCAGGGTTCCTTTGTATAGCGTATTTGATGATGTGTTTTCTCAACAGCAACTTTTGTGAGAGAGTTGTTGCTCTGTTTGAATTTTGTCATATATTGTGAAGCAAAATGCAATGAGGTATTGTGATGAAAAGTGCTAGATGTGCATTAAGCTAATAGGACCTGTATTTTTTCCTCTTGCTTCTTTTGGGCAGGTTCTGTTTTCACAGATTTGTATGATCATTGTTTCTGGAGTAAAAGGTTTTTTATTTTTCTTTTTAAAATTTTTTTTATTTAAACAGATTCTTGAAGATGCAGAGGCTCAGCATTTGTTTCAGTCCATTCTTCCTGATATGGTGAAGTTGGCGCTTTGTCTCCCTAGTATCTGCACACAGGTAAGTAAATAGAGCTAGCTGAGTGCTCTGTGGCAGGCAAATTTTCTGTAAAGTGTAGCTAATGGCTAGGGTCAAAATCCAAGGGCCATGTTTTGTTTCTTAATAAAGGTTGTAGTTTCTGTGTTGAATGTAGTTGATGGTTAGGGAGCAGAACGAAGAGTACGCGTCTACAATGCTATAAGAGTGTGTTGGGAGCAGGACCCAAAAAACCCTCCCTATCATATTTTTAGCCTCAACTTCAGTTATGCCTTACTTCCTATGTGCTGGAATTGCCTCTTGTTTTTCTTTAGTAAAACTACCATAGAACTTTTCAGATTTGAAATCAGTTTTATCAATTGAAATATTTCAGACATCTTAAAACATCTGACTCCTACTTTTAGATTTTTTTTTAATCATACAAGTAGTATTTACATAAAGTCTTCCTTTACTTGGGAGCATGCTTTACTCTTGTCAGAGCCTCACAATACTCTTGCACATTCAGCCCTTAACTACTTTTCTGTTGTTATTATGGGAGTCAGTCCTGTAGATACTAAAGCTGATAAAAGGCTTATTGTTGTGAATAATTCCATTGAAGTGAATAGGACTGCTCAAATAAGTGAAGATGTAGCGTATGATGAAATACTAGCAGGGTAAGGACTAATTTATAAGCTTCTTTGTCACAGTTTTCTAAATCAGCTTTCTTGGACTGGAGCAGGAAAATCTCACCCTACTTTATTATGCGGAAAGGTTGTCTACAGTAGACGTACAATTTCAAACAGTGTGAATATTTCTTAAGTTTTTTTTTCTTGTTACTTGATGGGGGGAAGCTTTTGAGAGTGCTATGAAGTTTCTGAATGTAGTAAAGTCAAGTACAAAACTCCAAGTTCGTTAAGTAATGCCTATTCTGAAGATGATATACTGCCAAGCAGTATAAATGGCTAAGAATTTCTTTAACAAGCTAAACAAATGTAAAGCTAAATTTGATGTTTCAGTGTAACATACTATCCCTATTTTTGTAGGCTAGTAGAATTTATTAGAGAGAACTTTTCAGGGTCTTTCCCCCTCTATCTGTGTGTTCTCAGACATTATAATATAGCTTCTTAATTAAATAACCAGAAGGCTGAATGAGATTCAGTGAATGTGAATATAGTAATTATAAGAATGAAGAAGGACTTCCTTGCTTGTTTTTTGAAGACTTCAGGGTCAGTTATAGGGCCACATATTCAGCTGCTTAAATTAGCAGCAATTTCTGTCCTCACAACTAAAATGTAGCTTCTTGGTTCCCCTGGAGCTAGACTAACAGCAACGGAGAATGATGGAAGAACAGGTGAAAGCTATGTTCTTTTCCTACTGTCAAGTGGGTTTGTTATAATCATTACTGGACTGTTTACTAAGCAATTGTTTGTTTGTTTGTTTGTTTCTTCTCTCCTAGTATTATCACATAAAAAGTCTATATTTAAAAAAAAAAAAAAACCTTGAACGTGGCAAGAGAAAAATTCCAAATCAGGAGACAAAAGCCTGATAAAATGGAGGATGAATGCCACTTTTGGTTTGGGGTTTTTTCCCTTTTGTTTTTTAACTGAAGAACCCTTGTCTAGAGTAAAATAAACTCTGAAAATTAAAACTAATATGAAGCTGTGTTTCTTATTCATTCTGATTATAAAAGGACTCATAATCATACCCTTTCTGCAGAGATTATTGGTCTATTCCTTCAGAGAGGATGGGAGAAAATTCAAAACAAGTTACAGGGTGATTATTATTGGAGTGACTTCCACCTTTCTTTTTAAAGTGTAAAGTATAGCCATCCTAGCTCAAAGTATTCCTTAACTATTCTTAACTATATGGCTACTTAAAGGTTTGGGGGGGGGGAATGTTTTTTTTTAGTTCAATTTTTAAGATTGCCCAGGGATTGCAAAATCCCATCTATTTTTTTTTCCTCCTCGTTTCCCTATTTTCGTTTGTTAAGCTGTGTTTTCTTGGTCAGTCTTATTATTGATTAGAAATCTGCAGTTTGTCAAGCGAGTTTTTCCCGGTCATCTTGAATATACTGTTCTTGACTTTAATGGTGCTGCTGATTTAAGGGTCCACCAATAGCCTAAATTACTCTTGCTCTAATTTAACAAATGTAATTTTGTGCTCCTGTTTTTTCATTGAAAATGGGTAAGCTAATTATTTTTCTTTCTCTTTCC